GCTAGAAGGGCCCCCGTTCCCCCCCGCGTGGCCGCTTGCCGCCTGGCCTGCGACCCGAGGAGCGGTGAGGACGGGTTTGGAGCCATTCCAGGGGCTTCCAGGTAAGGGACCCCCCACTCTCGCTGCTGCTGGCCCAGCTGAGCCGCCTCGGAGGCGAACCGCTCCCCGCTGCGCAACCGCCGGCCTGGGGCTCTGCCCGGGGCCATGGGGCGAGGCAGGGGGAGCGCAGCGGAGGCGACCCTCCTTCCCCCTGCACGGCCCGTGCACCTCCCTGGGGCTCCGGGCTATCGCCACAGGACGGGAATTTGGAAGACCGCCCGACCGGCTCCCACCACGCAGCGACGCAGCCTCGGGCACGCCAGCGCTATTACAAACAAATGGCATTTATGCCCGCTCCCGGGCGCTTTCCAGCGACAGCGCTGCCTACACGTAGGATAAAAATGGAGTCGGGAGCCTGACTGATTCCTGTGATTGTTATTAATGATGATGATGATGACTGGAGTTGCCTGGGAAATAGCCCGGCTTCCCTGCGAAACACTTGGAACAAAGGGAAAAGCAATTTTTGGTGAAACGAGGAAAAAAAATCCCGCTTTTCTTCCCTTACAGATCCCAGCCCTTTGGGGGTCGGTTTTGTCTTTTCCTTCGGGGGCTGTTTGCTGTTGTGCTTTCAATCAAGGAACCCGGAAAATTTCCAGCAACGGGGGAACAAACAGTCCCAGGAGCAGGGCCCTGGCGAGCGACACGTTTCCGCGGGAAGCGTCGGAGGGATTGATGCTGAGAAGCAGGGGAGAAATACTCCAGGCCGCCCCTTCCCTGGTCCCCAGGGGGAGAACGCAACACCCCTGGGTGCGCCGGCACCGCTCATCAGGCCGCCTGGAAACAAAAAGTGCATTAAAGAAAGGCAAAGCCCCCGGAGCAGGAGCAGGAGCAGGAGCAGGAGCAGGAGCTGAAGCGTGGGCGCACGGAAGGCGGGGCAGGCACGGGCGCTTTGCCACGGGTGCCCCTGGG